CATAACATGTAATTATGCTTGCGTAGTAATATTATATTCAAAATTTGTGCTGTTAAAGCTATTAATCTTTTTTTTTTAATGAATTCGATATAACGAATTTCTTAAATGTCTAATTAATCATGACGCTATTATGTTCAGACCAGCTTTTTCAGCTAACAATATATTTGGCCCTTATTTGTAATTTTTTTCATTTAGGGCCCTTGTTTGCAATTATTTTCAATTTTGGGTCCTTATTTGTAATTTCCCCTAAATTTTGCTTAAGTTAGAAAGATCTTTTTTGATACTAACATTTTGTTAGTACACAGAAGACAGCTTCACGTGAAAATATTGAGCAATGATCAATTTCTTGACTTGTTTTGATTTTTCACGTTTCTTCTGCGTTACGCCTGTTCTTGAAATATGATTGGCTAGTGAAATTTTTTAAAGTGGTAACACTAGGGAGGTTAAAAATCATTGGATCTGCTGAATTTTTTTTTCGCGACTAATCAATTCTGGTTAAATAGATGTATGCTAATACCGGATAACCCATATAAAGTAATCAATTGTAATTCTATCCGGATAATTCTGCATGAATCAGCACTAATATAAAAATCAAATTTGATATGATTCTCTTAAGATGGTTAGGTTTTCTGACGAAATTTGCTGTTTTGCCAGCGACATTAATCTGTGCGTAAAATGGTAATTGATGTAGAATGATTTTTAAACTCTAAAATTTCAAAGAAATATTTAATATTTATAATTTATTTAAACTTACAAATACACGTTTATTATGATGCAACGCTTAAATATCCAATTCAAAAACTTAACTCTAATTATTATTTTAGCATCATTTACATATGTTAGTCTTTGGTACTTATATTCGCAACAACCATTTTTGGATTTTTTTAATAAGTTTTCTTTTTATAAAGATTTAGATACAACACTTGGTTTTGATCATATCTACATTACAAATGTTTCGGGTCGGCCAGGAAAATATGAAAAATTAAAATTAATGGAAAATGAATTAAGTTTAACATTTGAATTCTTTCCAACCATTTCCCAAATTAATAGTGAATCACAACCGTCACAAAAAACTTATATTAACCATAATATTTATCAATCAATTGTGAATCATAATTATAGAAGCGCATTAATTTTAGAAGATAGTATAGATTTTGAATTTAATATCAAGTCAATTATGGTAGATATCCATCGCATATTACCACCTAATTGGGAAATTTTATATCTTGGTCATTGCAACAATTGGGAAGGGAAATCAGGTGAACCTTTGCCAGATTACAAACATGGACAATCTATTTATAAACTTTTTATATCTTATAGGCCATATTGTACACATGCTTACGCTGTTTCACATAGTGGTGCTCTTAAACTATTGAAGAAACTTGTTAACTTAACAGCCCCAATCGACCTTGAATTAACTAATATTATTACAGCAAATGAAATTAACTCATATACTATTATTCCACCGGTTATATCGAGATGTCATATTTCTGATGAACCAATAAATCTTTATCCAGGAAGAGATACATTAGATTTGTACTCTTTAAATCATTCCACTTTACATTCCCTTGGACTTAATTATGAATTAAATAATACTCTCGGCTTTAGTCACATTTACGTTATTAATCTTATAAATCGGCAAGATAGACGCGAAAAATTAGAAATTTTAGCCAAGAAACTTAATTTAAAATTCGAATTTTTTCCTGCTGTTTCTCAAGATGATGAAAATGAACTCAAAGAACTTGAAGTTAAAAACTCTATTTTAAAACCATCTCAAATTGCTTGTTATCTTAGTCATTATAAAGTATATCAATCAATAATTCAACATGGATACGATAGCGCTTTGATATTAGAGGATGACGTAGATTTCGAACTTAATATCGCATCAATTATATCAGATACA